CATACAACAATTGACAAAACACATAGAACAAATGACAAAACACATACAGCAAATGACAAAACACATACAACAAATGACAAAACACATAGAACAAATGACAAAACACATACAGCAAATGACAAAACACATACAACAAATGACAAATCACATACAACAAATGACAAAAACACATACATCAATTGAAAAAACACATACAACCAATGACAAAACACATACGTCAAATGACATAACACATACAACAATTGACAAGTACAGTAATCAGTAGGAAAACGCCATGTGGACACCATGGTATACATAAAGTCACGTGTTTCGAACAGTGTTAGCACATCCTGCTCCTCACATGGGACCGCCATATATAAATTACTAAGTAATACACAATCATAAAATCAAAGAATAATTTTTAATAGTCATATTCGATAAACAAAAACATGGCTGGGATTATATAATTACAAATTATGAAAACAATCAAACTACCACTGAAATGGTTTATGGCGTAGTTTTTTGATGGTTGAAGGTAGTCGAAGCTTACCATTAACTTTTCTCACTTAATTGCATAATATAAGTCTGCATTAGATACTGATTATCTCCTTTATCTTTGAATTATTTCGTATAATTAGTTGATAAAAGCCACCACTTTAAAAAATACATTAACATATTCAGTTATTTAATATGCAATATCTAAAAGTGTGTTGGCCTCGCTGTACAGAAAAGCATAATAATAATGAGTGCGTGTATAGATTTGAATAACCTAATGTACTTTACATCGATGAAACCTAATCGTGTAAGTTCTCGTGGAATCTTTTCTAGAATTTCAATACTGACGTTTAGTTGCATAAAACATGCGAATAAAATATGTTATACAAAGTTTGTATTCACCCAGCCTATTTCAATATTAGTGGAGTGATCACTAGCCTTGTTTCCGAAGCTCACTACCGGTGAACGCTCATTTTCATGAATATAAAATAATTTGAAGCCTTCAGCGCCGAGCATTTTGGTAAGAACCTCATATGCATACTGGGTTTTGTCTGAGTTGGCGCCTCTAGGCAGACCCCATAAGTGATATTCAAAGACAACTTGCTTGACTTGTTTAATAACTCCGCTTTGTAAGATCTCTGGGAAGACTTTAAATTCGCTTGCTTCAATATCAATCTTCAAAACATCGATGACGCTCTGGAAAGGTGGAACATTGTATGTAAATTAGTAGTATAAGGGATGCATCAATTAACCAATTTGGAAAGGAAAATGGAGAGAGGGTAGAATAAGAGAATAGATGCCAATGTTCATGTATTTATTTAGAAATAATTAATACACAACTGCAGCGCTATTTTTCAATATAAAACTATTATGACATAATGTCTGTTTATTTACTAGCAAACCAAATGGTGCAAAATGCCACAGAAAGGAACTCACCTCACCCACATTGCTAGAAAGCTTACCTCCGATATCATAGTCACCGCTGTCTCAACGGTAATGCATTCTCGTCTTCGAATGAAAGCCCCACTCCTTATTGAAAAGACTCTGTATCCCGTCATTGGCAAGAAAGGGATTCTTTCCCATTGCTATGAAATGCAATCACCTAATATAATACTCACATTTTCATGGTGGAGCATCGATATTATTGATTTGAGCGTTCGGCATTTCCAGGTTTGGTCATTTTTGACTTTCATATCATCCAAATCCTCGTTCCACAGTCCCATATTATAAAACCACACTTTCTCTGCGTGTTTATGGTCATCCTTACCAATTCTAAAAGTAAAAATAAAAAAATAACCAACCTGTGTTAGGGTAATTTGACACAGAGGCTATAAACGAAAGACTGGTTTTAAATTTATCAGTTGGCGTTACCGTCAACCGAACTGGGAATGTACAATTACGGCGCCTATGATTCCACTACTGTTATGCGAATAATTTGGCCACAACATCAATATATTCACAGTTGTATCTGACGTAATTACAATCCATGTATCATCAGTTGTTACTCACAATCGACATTATTGATTTGAGCGTTCGGCATTTCCAGGTTTGGTCATTTTTGACTATATATATACATATATACATATATACATATACAGCAAAATATAACTGAAAAAACAAAGCTGAGAACTTATGAAAAATTCAAAGACTCTTATAATTTTGAAAAATACTTAGATGTGCTAAATTTGAAACAAAGAATTTCAATGACAAAATTTCGAACTAGTAATCACAATTTAGCAATAGAAAAAGGGAGACATATGCAACCAAAAATACCTACAGAAAATAGAATTTGCAAACAATGTTCATAGAATGAAATAGAAGATGTACTGCACTTTGTTATGAAATGTCCACAATATGAAGTAATACACCAACAAATCATACAAGACATTATATTTCCACAAGAAACCCAGGATGATCTCCAGAAATTTAATTTCTTGATGACTTCAAAAGATGATGTAATAATAAAAAAGATTGGCAACTATATTCATAATGCATTTCAATCAAGAAATAAAAATGCCATTTGATATGTAACACTTGCTTTATCTTTTTTTTTTAACAACTAACTTTCTTTTTGTAGTAGTAGTTATCACAACTAATCTTTATTGCTATTAACTGATAGAAACATTGTATTTCTAAAGATGCAATAAAGTTATTATTATTATTATTATTATTATTATTAGTCATCATGCTTTATCTGACGTAATTGCACTCCACGTATCAACAGATGTTACTCATAGTCACCATGCTTTATCTGACGTAATTGCACACCATGTATCAACAGCTGTTACTCCTAGTCACCATGCTGTATCTGACGTAATTACACTCCACGTATCGATAGTTGTTACTCCTAGTCACCATGCTATATCTGACGTAATTGCATTCCACGTATCAACAGATGTTACTCATAGTCATCATGCTATATCTGACGTAATTGCACTCCACGTATCAACAGTTGTTTCTCATAGTCATCGTGTTATATCTGACGTAATTACACTCCACGTATCAACAGATGTTACTCATAGTCATCATGCTATATCTGACGTAATTGCACTCCACATATCAACAGCTGTTACTCATAGTCACCATGCTGTATCTGACGTAATTACACTCCACGTATCAATAGTTGTTACTCATAGTCACCATGCTTTATCTGACGTAATTGCACTCCACGTATCAACAGATGTTACTCATAGTCACCATGCTGTATCTGACGTAATTACACTCCACGTATCAATAGTTGTTACTCATAGTCACCATGCTTTATCTGACGTAATTGCACTCCACGTATCGATAGTTGTTACTCATAGTCATCATGCTATATCTAACGTAATTGCACTCCACGTATCGATAGTTGTTACTCATAGTCACCATGCTTTAGCTGACGTAATTGCACTCCACGTATCAACAGCTGTTACTCATAGTCATCATGCTATATCTGACGTAATTGCACTCCACGTATCGATAGTTGTTACTCATAGTCATCATGTTTTAGCTGACGTAATTGCACTCCATGTATCAACAGCTGTTTCTCATAGTCATCATGCTATATCTGACGTAATTACACTCCACGTATCAACAGATGTTACTCATAGTCATCATGCTATATCTGACGTAATTGCACTCCACATATCAACAGATGTTACTCATAGTCATCATGCTATATCTGACGTAATTGCACTCCACGTATCGATAGTTGTTACTCATAGTCATCATGCTTTAGCTGACGTAATTGCACTCCATGTATCAACAGCTGTTTCTCATAGTCATCATGCTATATCTGACGTAATTACACTCCACGTATCAACAGATGTTACTCATAGTCATCATGCTATATCTGACGTAATTACACTCCACATATCAACAGATGTTACTCATAGTCACCATGCTATATCTGACGTAATTGCACTCCACGTATCGATAGTTGTTACTCATAGTCACCATGCTTTATCTGACGTAATTTCACTCCACGTATCAACAGTTGTTTCTCATAGTCATCATGCTATATCTGACGTAATTACACTCCACGTATCAACAGATGTTACTCATAGTCATCATGCTATATCTGACGTAATTGCACTCCACATATCAACAGCTGTTACTCCTAGTCACCATGCTGTATCTGACGTAATTACACTCCACGTATCAATAGTTGTTACTCATAGTCATCATGCTTTATCGGACGTAATTACACTCCACGTATCAACAGATGTTACTCATAGTCATCATGCTATATCTGACGTAATTGCACTCCACGTATCAAGAGATGTTACTCATAGTCATCATGCTATAACTGACGTAATTGCACTCCACGTATCAACAGCTGTTACTCATAGTCATCATGCTGTATCTGACGTAATTGCACTCCACGTATCAACAGCTGTTACTCCTAGTCATTATGCTGTATCTGACGTAATTGCACTCCACGTATCAACAGTTGTTACTCCTAGTCATGATGCTATATCTGACGTAATTACACTCCACGTATCAATAGTTGTTACTTATAGTCACCATGCTTTATCTGACGTAATTGCACTCCACGTATCAACAGATGTTACTCATAGTCATCATGCTATATCTGACGTAATTGCACTCCACGTATCAACATTCGTTACTCCTAGTCATGATGCTATATCTGACGTAATTACACTCCACGTATCAATAGTTGTTACTCATAGTCACCATGCTTTATCTGACGTAATTGCACTCCACCTATCAAAAGATATTACTCATAGTCATCATGCTATATCTAACGTAATTGCACTCCACGTATCAACAGCTGTTACTTCTAGTCATCATGCTGTATCTGACGTAATTGCACTCCACGTATCAACAGCTGTTACTCCTAGTCATTATGCTGTATCTGACGTAATTGCACTCCACGTATCAACAGTTGTTACTCCTAGTCATGATGCTATATCTGACGTAATTACACTCCACGTATCAATAGTTGTTACTCATAGTCATCATGCTATATCTGACGTAATTGCACTCCACGTATCAACAGCAGTTACTCCTAGTCATCATGCTGTATCTGACGTAATTGCGCTCTACATATCAACAGCTGTTACTCATAGTCATCATGCTATATCTAACGTAATTGCACTCCACATATCAACAAATGTTACTCATAGTCATCATGCTGTATCTGACGTAATTGCACTCCACGTATCAACAGCTGTTACTCATAGTCATCATGCTATATCTAACGTAATTGCACTCCACGTATCAACAGCTGTTACTTCTAGTCATCATGCTGTATCTGACGTAATTGCACTCGACGTATCAACAGATGTTACTCATAGTCATCATGCTATATCTGACGTAATTACACTCCACGTATCAACAGATGTTATTCATATTCACCATGCTATATCTGACGTAATTGCACTCCACGTATCAACAGATGTTACTCATAGTCACCATGCTATATCTGACGTAATTGCACTCCACGTATCAACAGATGTTACTCATAGTCACCATGCTATATCTGACGTAATTGCACTCCACGTATCAACAGATGTTACTCATAGTCACCATGCTATATCTGACGTAATTGCACTCCACGTATCAACAGATGTTACTCATAGTCACCATGCTATATCTGACGTAATTGCTCTTCACGTATCAACAGTTGTTACTCCTAGTCAGCATACTATATCTGACGTAATTGCTCTTCACGTATCAACAGTTGTTACTCCTAGTCAGCATACTATATCTGACGTAATTGCTCTTCACGTATCAACAGTTGTTACTCATAGTCAGCATACTGTTTCTGATGTAATTGCACTCTTTATATCTACATATATATTACTGCTAGTAATCATACTGACGGAATTGTATTGGATGTGTCATCAGATGTTACTTACAGTAATCATTCTGTAAACGAAGTAAGATTACTCCAAATATCTATAGTTGTTACTCCTAGTAACCATTCTTACCCGATCGACGATTACTCCATATATCCACAGTTATTACTCCCAGTAATAATACTGTATCAGGCGTAATCACAAGTATTAATAGTTATTACTGCTAGTCATCGTACTGTGTCTGATGTAATAGCACTCCACGTATTATCAGTTGTTACTTCTAGTGCTGTATCCGTATCAACAGTTATTATTCCAAGCCATTATACTGTATCTGACAGTCACCATGTTGTATCTGGTGTAATTACACTTCATGTATCAACAGTTGTCATGACATAGCACATAATCATGATTGTTGACGTAATACCACTATTTAATTATGTCACAAAACATCCTAAAACTAATATATATATTTATATGTGTATATATCACAATACTTACGTTGGATCGAATGTGTATACATTGCATCCATATTTAGACATATCATCATCAAAACTCCAATCATGACCAACTCTGTAAGAAGAAACCTGGTGAACATGGTGCGATTGTTTCTGTATTTATATGAATCCAAAATATTCAGTTGTTTTGTTTTTCAGGGAACTCAAGCTGTATTGCCAAATGCAATATAATCAAATTGACCAATAAGGAGTATTTTCTAGTGAATGGTTGTATTAGCAATAGTATTTCTGTTTATAGAGTTACATCTGTCAAAAACACGTGGGTGTTATTTTATTTCTAAACTTAAAGGGCGGAAGTCGTCGCGCCACGCGTGTACGACATTATGTGTAAATAAGCATTGATTTTCCCATAATCCAATGCGCTATTTTAATGAAATCACCAGTACGTGACTTGCACTAATCAATTACCGTCGGTGACATCTTCGATGCCCTCCAATCACAAAAAAATACATAAATAAAACTTGGTAACGTCCTGGTTTGTCTGCGCAACAGTCAAAGTCGCCATCTTTGTTCATATAAGACCCATAACTCGCGCATGCGTGGCGCTACGACCACCGCCCTTTAAACTACAATGTTCATATTGATTCAAATTGTAGCAAGATATGTTAAGATGTCAGGTTTTTTAGAGCATACATCTACCCGTTTTGAGATTAAAAATTTGTTGTACGCAGTAATCTTTAATACTGCTCGCAATTCTGGTTACCATCGTAGAAATATTTTCAAAAGGGTTCAATCTAATTTAAATATTTAACTTCATATACTTTTCCCGAATTACGAAAACATGGTCTAGAAAGCGCACGAGGGGACGACCTAGACCTGTTTTTAGTGGCCTAACAACAGTCTCAGCAAAAATGCCTGTCCTATAAATTAATTTTTCCACGCATTACCATTAGAAAGTTTTTCTGAGCTTTTTAACTACACTGGTACCAGTTGTAACAAGTACAAAATAATCGAAATATCATCTATTTCTTTTCAAAAACACGTTATATATCAGTTTATGTGTCGCAACGTATTGTTTGTCTCTTTTATATTTGTATCAATTTTAATGAATGAACGAACAAACGAACGAACGAACGAACGAGAACGAACGAGCGAACGAATGAATGAAATGTTATGCGAATTAGAACGGATAAGAACCAATCGGAACGGATAAAAATGAATTCAACAGCCGTGATGGTAACATACATATGTAAAGTGGTTATCACAATGGTTGGCGGTGAATTGTTTAGCGTACGGTGTGTGCAAGTAACACACGTGAAATACATGCAAAGTGGAATATGCATTTGTAAACACATTTGAAATTGGAATACGTATTTGTAAACACATTTGAAATTAGAATACGTATTTGTAAATACATGTAAATTGGATTACGTATTTGTAAATACATGTAAAGTGGAATAAGTATTTGCAAATACATGTAAATTGGAATACGTATTTGTAAATACATTTGAAATTGGAATAAGTATTTGCAAATACATGTAAATTGGAATACGTATTTGTAAATACATTTGAAATTGGAATAAGTATTTGAAAATACATGTAAAGTGGAATAAGTATTTGCAAATACATGTAAAGTGGTATATGTATTTGTAAATACGTGTAAATTGGAATAAGTATTTGCAAATGCATGTAAATTGGAATACGTATTTGTAAAAATATTTGAAATTGGAATAAGTATTTGCAAATACATGTAAAGTGGAATAAGTATTTGCAAATACATGTAAAGTGGTATACGTATTTGCAAATACATGTAAAGTGGAATACGTATTTGCAAATACATGTAAATTGGAATAAGTATTTGCAAATACATGTAAATTGGAATACGTATTTGTAAATACATTTGAAATTGGAATAAGTATTTTCAAATACATGTAAATTGGAATACGTATTTGTAAATACATTTGAAATTGGAATAAGTATTTGCAAATACATGTAAAGTGGAATAAGTATTTGCAAATACATGTAAAGTGGTATACGTATTTGCAAATACATGTAAAGTGGAATACGTATTTGCAAATACATGTAAAGTGGAATAAGTATTTGCAAATACATGTAAAGTGGAATAAGTATTTGCAAATACATGTAAAGTGGAATACGTATCTGTAAATACATGTAAATTAGAATACGTATCTGTAAATACATGTAAATTAGAATACGTATCTGCAAATACATGTAAAGTGGTATACGTATTTGTAAATACATGTAAAGTGGAATACGTATCTGTAAATACATGTAAATTAGAATACGTATCTGTAAATACATGTAAAGTGGTATACGTATTTGCAAATACATGTAAATTAGAATACGTATCTGTAAATACATGTAAATTGGAATAAGTATTTGCAAATACATGTAAAGTGGTATACGTATTTGCAAATACATGTAAATTAGAATACGTATCTGTAAATACATGTAAATTGGAATAAGTATTTGCAAATACATGTAAAGTGGAATAAGTATTTGAAAATACATGTAAAGTGGTATACGTATTTGTAAACACATGTAAAGTGGAATACGTATTTGCAAATACATGTAAAGTGGAATACGTATTTGTAAACACATGTAAAGTGGAATAAGTATTTGCAAATACATGTAAAGTAGTATACGTATTTGTAAACACAAGTAAAGTGGAATACGTATTTGCAAATACATGTAAATTGGAATAAGTATTTGCAAATACATGTAAAGTGGAATAAGTATTTGCAAATACATGTAAAGTGGTATACGTATTTGTAAACACATGTAAAGCGGAATACGTATTTGTAAACACATGTAAATTAGAATACGTATCTGTAAATACATGTAAAGTGAAATAAGTATTATGTAAATACATGTAAAGTGAATGCATGTCTGTAATTGAAGTAACATGCACAAAATTCAAATGTAAAAAACATATTTAATTACATTGTAATAAAAATAGTTCTTAGTGCACGTGAATATATGGAAAATGCATTTATTATTTCGATATGTGTTTGTGTAATATTTATTTTTAGTTGATTTAAAGAAATATATGGCAATGACTAAAATAATATGCATAAAATATATTTATGCAATGCATGGAATAACTGATACTAATGTATTTCAGAATATGTATACAAATTACGTTGAAGTAAATAATCGAAAAAAAAATACGTCAATAATATTTTATAACACGCGTGGGAAATATGTGAAGATTAAAAGTGAACTGATAATTATACAGAGTGGAAGGGGATAAATATTTAATACTTGATCTTGTCAAAGGATTACGATGTTGGCTGATACGCAGAACAATTACTAGAGATACATCGTTTCCGTGATTAGTTTACCATTTTAAATTCTATACAGTCACACTAATTCGAAACATAAAATGGCAACAAATTGAATTTTAACATATATAGACAAAATACAGAATGTAGAATTCAGTTTAATTAGTGGCAGCTGTTTCGTAGTATATTGACCACATCGTGTACACTCATACAGAACACGCATTATCATGCATTACGATGTTAATAGACAGTTTGAAACCAAATAAATGTTGTGTAGGTAATGTGCTACGATCAAGCATTAGTTGATACGTACATGTAAGTGAGATCTTATAATTTAAAATTCATCGCTTACCCGACAGAATATGCAATACAATTATTAGGATCGATGTTGACGTCCATGCACACGTCCCAACCACCGTCGTTTACTTGACCCATACGTCTATTGTCCTTGCAGTTATACTTTATGGTAGAAATATAATTCATCAATAAACCCCACGCCTCGTTAGAATCCATCACTTCAGAGTTTGATAATGTGTCAACTTCATTCTAAATAAATAAATAAATAAATAAATAAATAAATAAATAAATAAATAAATAAATAAATAAATAAATAAA